GAATGGCAGTCAGCTTTTACCCAACATGAACCGTTTTGTTTTTTTCTTTTAAGAAAACTTGTCAAAAATGTAAGTTTATTGTCAATTCTAAACTTTTCCCAGTTTTGCAAATAACCCTGAGTATGTTTACATCTTGGGCATTTTGAGACTATGAACAAATAAGAGTAAAAAAAAAACCCCACTATAAATAAAAAATGTAAATTAAAATGCATTGCATTGCCCATGAACAAAGTCTTCGCATAAAATAGCAATTTGCCCTATATGATATATAGTATATAATCAATATATTCTGTTGAAAATAAGTGTTGCTTATATTTTTAACACACAAAAAAAAAGTGGTATGATGTTAAATGTCAATTGAATTAGATTATATTGCTAGCGTTGTCTACTAACTGAACAATGCTGCCCTCATGTGGCTATCAACATAAACTGTTTCTGTAACTGGCATCGTTATTTGATAAATAGTGCCCTGACAGGAGGTCATTGTGAATTCCGAGGAGTTTATTCAATAAATACCAAATTGTGGTTAATTGAAAATCAAATAACAAAATTTGAGGCCTGAAAGGGCTAATCTTAAAAAAATAACTCCAACTCAGTGGTAGTCACAGCTACAGTTGACTTTGAATTCACTTTTAACACCTGACAATTCACACTTTAGTGAATACACCTGTTGGCGTTATTCACCAAACAACAAATTGTAGTGAATTAATGAGTATAGCTGTGATGGATAATTTTTCCAAATAAACACTTTTTGCCTAAATATTGCAATTTGGTTTTTAATTCCCTACAATTCATTGTTTAGTGAATAAACCTCTGTGCATATAATTATGCCATTTTGGTTAAATTTTCAGGAAGTCTAGGGTATTGCTCTCCCTCTCCTGCCTCAATCTCAAGGACTGTGGACAAAGTTAGTGGTTCTTTTCGTGTTCTTCCCCATAAACATCCTGGTTTGTAAGTTTCCCAGATCCCCCTTTAAAGAAAATAGTTCCTACCTCTACATATGCCCTTTAATGTAGATTGGCTTTCCTCCATAGGATCTCAGGGGTGGCCAAAAAGTAGATCTTGGCTCTTGCTGAACTGCAAATCGTACAATGCTTTGCCACCTTGCTAACCTGGCTAACCATCATAGAAACTGCAAATCTGCAACAGATAACCATCTCAGCTTAACGTATTTTGGAGGATCTTCCCAAACGCAGTGATGTCTTAATTTTTTTTTCCTTATGCCCATGGGGCATACTTAAAATAAAATACCAAGTAAAAAAAAAAAAGAAAACTCTACAAATAACCACATCAAGAAAAAAATACAAATGTTTGAGCTTTTATGTAGACAATAACCACTTGTCAGGCTAGCCATCACACTCAATGAACACTCCTCTCACTCCAGAACCCCATATCCTCTTTGTATGGCACATTTTCAACATCACAAAAGAATGTCTTCTACTCCAGAGGTCCACCAGTGTCTAATACCAGAGGTCCATCAGTTTCTAATATCTGGTGACAGTCTCCAAAAATTGCCACCATAGTAACTACAAGCATTTCATTTTTCACATAATTCTCTTGAATTTTATCTGTTCAACAAAAGCCATTAGTAGCGTAATGAAGATCTTTGAATGATTGCCAGGTTACGTACAATACCCATTGGACTTGGCAGTAGTTTACCTAGAAACTGTAACAGAGCTAACAGACAGTTTACACCTTATTTACTGTTCTTTGTATTACAACAAGCTCTCAGTTTCAGTTTCATAAGTTAGATTATGAAACCCCCTTAAAAGGACACACTAATCACCATAGCCTCTAGAATTCATTACAGTGATTGAGGTGCTATAAGTCCATGGGCAGCACTCCTGGCGTTTTGTCAACCTATGTTAAAGTAATTTAAAAACGCCTTTGTATATATAACAATTAAATAACTAGTGATTATGGTACCTAGAGGGCTTTTTTTTAAAATATTTTTTTTTAAAATATCATGTATACAGTGGAGGAACTAATGTAGAGTGGGCCCTGGTGTAAGAAGGTTTTTTTGGGCAGCCCACAAATGCAAAAGTGGCCAAACGGTAGATCCTCGTCTGTCTTACAACTCCAACAATGCTATGCCAGCTGGAGATCTTACATTTGCCCATCCTTGCAGTGCTGAATTGGTGAGCAGTGTTTGTGTGTTTGAATGTAAGCATGTTTTTGTATAGAGTTTGAGTGTAATTGTATGTAATGTTTCCATTGGAGTTAAAAACTGTTGGTGTTTAATCGAAGGAGTGCTTGTATATAATATTAGTGTTTTAATAGAGGGATATGTTTGTATGTAATATTGGTGTTTGATTGAAGGAGTATTTATATATAATTTTAGTGTTTTAAGGCAGGGGTGTGCTTGCATGTTATGTTGGTGTTCAATTTCTTGGGTGTATGCACATACACTGCCACATATATACATATTTACACAGATATGCATACACATTAACACGCAGATACACATATTTACACAGATATGCATACACATTACCACGCAGATACACACATATAAACACACTGACACATGAACACACACTGACATATACACACCCAGATGTATATCCTGACACACAGATACATGCACACTGACACGTACACTGACACAAACACCCTGACACACAAATGCAAACCCTGATATGAAGCTGCACGCACACTGACACACACAGACATAATACACATTAACACACAAATACACATATATATGCACTGCCACATACAAAGACAGACACAAAGATACACACTGATATATGCACACTTTGACACAGACACACACACACATACACACACACACACACACACACACATGCACACACACAGTCTGACATAAACATATTAATGCCAATTTAGACATTCCCTTCTTGTATGGACAATTGAAATTGTTGGTTGAGAGCTTCAGCTGATGATCTCAACCAATGAATTCCATCCAAACAGGAATGAAATTGATATATTATTGCAGAATGGAAATTTCTACTTTAGATGCAGGGATGTTGGAGGGGCTAGGGATTGTAGCCCCCAATGTTGGGTTCTGTGGCCCTGGACCTTTTTAACTTGGGGGAGTGAAAGTGGATCCCTAAATCTATTTCTCCCATTCTGCTCTTCCTTTCAGTTTCCTTGTTAAGCCTGGCTAGGAGAGAAAGTTAAGACAGGTAATATCACAAACTAGCCATGTTTTCCCATCTCTATCACTTTGCTGAGAGTTTTGAGGGCTAGAAGAGCAAGGCCAGTGACTTTCTGCCTCCTCTAACTCACTTTGTACATCAAGCATTTCAAACTCAAAGGCTAGCACGGGCCACAAAAAAAACAAACCTTAAATTTTTATAGAAATGTTGGTTTGTTTTAAAAAGCACAGTACAAAAGAAAAACGGCATCCCCCTCTACTTAACCCCAGTCCCCCCTCTGTACTAAATACCATTCCCCCTCTGTACTAATTCCCAGTCCCCGTCAAATCCCAGCACACAATATATACTAAATCTCAACCCCCCCCCCCTACTAAACCCCAGCCCTCATTTAAAAAACAAAACAAAACAATATTAGCCAACAAGCAGACTCCACTTACATTTCCGCTGCCAGTATGCGACTCCGGAGTCCAGCCTCCGTTATACCCCTAGTGGCGCTGTCCGCATCCCGTGCCAAACAGATCCTCCTGCTACTCATTGAAAACCTGTGAAGGTGGAGCACGATAACGTCACATCAGAATGTGGCATTGCGTGCCCCGCCAGGTTCTCCACTGTCCAGCTGTGGCCATCGCAACACTGACCAACACACACTGACAGACACACACACACACTATCTGACAGACACACACACTCTGACAGACACAAACACGCACACATACAGACAGACACATACAGACAGACAGACACACACAGGCAGAGAGACAGACAGGCAGACAGTCACATACACTTGTAAGAGTTAGCATATATAATTATATCAATAGAATATAATTATTATACATCTTCACTTCACATTTTAATTATCTGTAGTACATTTGCTTTCATAGACGTAGATCAGGTTGATGGACACTACTACATGGAGACTAGTTTCATGTTGATCCCTATTATTCAATATTCTGTGAAAAATCACTGGATTTGATTAAAAATAGTTTCTGGATATTTACTAATTGTAATTCTGAGGCTAATAATGTTCAGAACAAGTTGGTGTCAGCTAAAATAAGCTTGTAGAAAAATAATTGAAATATCATAAAAATATATGGCATGCAGGTATTTACTGAACATTGATAATTTACCAAATTGTCTACAAATAAGCACAGTTTTCGCACATACAGAAATGCCAGTCAATCTGCTTTCCCCATGAGGAAAAATCTACAGTACTTGACAAACTGTAGATTTAGACAGTAAAATTAATGTGTTTTGAATCAATTTAAATGGTTACTCCAAGCAACCATTTCAGTGTTCTGAAGTGGTTATGGTGTATAGAGTTTGTATCTGCAGTGTTTCAGTATTAAACGCAGAGATATTTTATAGCCTCATTAGCATGTCATTTACAATTGTTTTAAAAACCTTAAAGGGTTACTTCAAGCACAATGACCACTGATTTCAACACATACTGACTTTAATCCCGTAACTTCTCCTTGGGCACCATTATTGATGCGACATTATCTAGCCCAGAATAAAAGTTCTGGGTTGGCTAATGTCAGTTCTGTGCATATTCCATACACAGAGGGTCATTTGTTGGCTGTGAGCGATCAGCTGATACTCTCAGCCACTGAATGCTCGGTGAGATTGGCATTCTGTTTCTGCAGCTCTGCAGAAGCCAGATGCACGTCCTGTGGCTTATCAGAGGCTTGGTGCAAGGGGAGGAGCCAGGTAAGTGTATACATCTTTACAAAACGGCTTGCACCATTAACAGGAAATGGCACCAGGATACTGCTAGCATCATTACCATTGCAGCATGCTGTAGTGTTTGATACCTTGAGTAACCCTTTAAAATAAATCCACCTCCAACACCACAGCCATAAACAACTGTAAACGAACAGGGGAAATAATCACAATGTGGATTTATTTGTGCACTGAATAAACTGATTTATTGCAAAATGGACATTAAAAGTGTCGTTCAATGACATAAAACACGCATAAACATAATAAGGGGATTAAGCACTGCTAAATAATATATGTATGCTTTGCCATTGCAAATACTAGGCTATATGTGGAAACGGGCTGGCTATCATTAGTTTGGGCATTATTTTGAGTATCTAAAGACATTTATAAAATATACAGCAATGTTTTGGATATTGCAATGCTAGGACAATTTATTCATAGCAGGATTCGGGATTCAGCGCTACATTCTTTACTACAGTCTTTCCGTTGTATGAAAATGGGACTCCCCAGGTATAACATTTGTTCCTGTCATACGTGTAGCATGTGTCTTCTGAATCCGAAGAGCAGGTGCCTTGGGATGCCCATATGGATTCACCACCAAGTTCTATTTTGGTAGGATTACAGTTCTTACCGCTGGAAGAATGGAAACAGACATTACATTAGGATACATCCTAAACGCAAATGCAATTATTACATAAAGGACAATCTATCTTTATTTGAACATGATGCTAAAAATACTCTAACAATCATATTAACAGATTTTGATTATTTTATATTTTATCATACTTTCAAAATGCTGGAGTGTGGAAATATAGAAGAGCCAAACGTATTAATGAAAAAATTGATGCCACCTTCACAGCATATGGACAAGTAGCCTTGGGTCTGAATTTTGTGGTCTATCAAATTGGCATTTATCAATGAACAAGCTGTTGAATATTAAACCCTTTTCCCAGAATTCCATTTTCAAGTATTTGCATGGTAGTATTGAATTAGAGTTAGCGTAATAATCTAATGGTTCAGCGAAAGAGGTTCAGCAAAAAGGTTTAGCGAAGAGTTTTATTGATCGTGCGAAGCAACTGTGATTACAGTGAATCCTTAGTATGTCTGCCATGGTAATAAAAGCAAGGGTTTTATACAATAAAATGAGGAACACTGCTCAATTTGAATATCTTTTAAAATGATCATTGTTCAAATTAAAATTTAATCTAATATTAAAAGTTGCAAAATCTCTTCTGGACATGTGTCTTTGCACATGAAACTATGACTGAACAGGTAAGGTAAGAGATTTAACTCCTTCGGGTCTATTTTGGACTTTTTAACTAAGCAATGCCCAAGTTAACATGGTCTGCTCATTCGCCAGTACCCCCTGCCCTCCTGAGACCACTACTGTAGATTCAACATACTCAGCTTACATTAAAACCCCACATCCCTTACTGCATTCTGCACCAGTCCCTTGGTCTGTAGTAGTGATGCATGATGTCACATCCCATAGTGCAGCATTACCACAGTAGTATAACTTGAGCTCAGCTCAGTGTGGGTACCTCTTGCCATGAGATTTAATTGTGTGCATTTATAATATTTGCCCATTCTCATCTGAGCATCCCTTACATATGCTTTTCTCCTTTAATATATACATTACCTATTTAGGTACATTACATTATATATTTCGGATTTAGGAAAAAAGCTACATTTTCTTTACTGAAACATCCGCTTTCAAAACACGGGAAACAAACAAAACTAATTCTTATATTTTGCTAATGTATGTAACATAATCATAATGCGAATGCAAATTATGGTATGATTAATTACTCAAATAAATATAAGGGAGAGAACCCATTTTTGTAGAGCATCTTCACATTCACAAAGTAATATAAAAAAAGGGTTAGAAAAATAACTTACAGTTTTGACAGATCATAGACAAAATTAGTTCTTAGTGGAGATGTTGGGTCTGAAATGTTCATCCTGGCTTTTACTGGAACCCTAGAATGAAATACAGAATTTTACATAAAGTATGCATTACAAGAACAACCCAGTATCATCTATCATTTATCTATGTTTGACATGATATAAATAACCTAGTATCTAGTAATAGGTGATACCATACAATGTATAAAGTGCCTGATGCCTTTCTTCCAACCCCCAAGGTCCAGGAAGGCTAAACGCAAAACCAGGGCCTGCCGGCCATCCACAGCCTAGAAACTCTCCTAAGAGGCACTCGGGTGTATGACAACCCACACACTGAGTAGGACGATACCGTGACACTTAGCAACACCTCCACAACAATGGGGCGTCGCACACAGAAGCTGCAGCCAGGCTCATCAGCTGAACAACCAGATATCGGAGTGATGTTGCAGCGACAGGCACCATCCAAGATGACTGCCACAGAGGCCTTAACTGCTCTGGTGTGGCCTACACCACATGCCCACTCACTAGCACCGCGGGCAGAGGCCAAGCAAGACACCACGCTCCCAGCCCTTAGAGAACCAGAGGATAATACCTGTGCCACAAAGCATGACCTCCAACAATGGTATTTGAAAACCCACAACTGCTCTTTTTTCAGACCTTAATGTCAGGGTTTCTTTGCTGTTTTAAACAGCAACCCTTCCTTTTTCAGTGTCTGAGTTTTCAGCTGAGATTAACAATCAGCTCCTTCAGTATGTTGTCACGTTTACTCACCTGAGAATAGTAACCAACCCTGCTGCTAATCAGTGCAGCCTATTTAAGCAGCAAATCCCAGAACCTCCTTGCCCTTGCATGGTTTCCTGTTCCCCAGAAGTCTCCTTGTTCCTGTGTTTCCTGTTTGTTCCTGGTTCCTGACTCTGGCCTTGTTCCTGACTCTGGCCTTGTTCCTGACTCTGGCCTTGTTCCTGACTTCGCTGCTCTCCGTTCTCCTGATCCTGGCTTGTGTGACTACCCGCTCTGGTGACTGACCCCTGCTTGCCTCCTGGACTTTGCTTTTGGTTATTTCTTTATTTGTTATTTATTAATAAAGGTGTTTTTGCATCTAGTTCTGTCTCTGTCTGGTTCCTGGTCCCTAACACTTAACAAGGGCCACACTGGCGGAGGTCAGTGCATCGCCTAACCAGCCACCTGAGAACGACGGGCATACATTACCGCTGGGAGACGCCAAGGGTCCTCATGATCACACATAAATGGACTACCCACAGAGCCACATCGGAGGCAGCGATACTGATCTGTCATACTACTTTCACGATACTACGCTAGGTGAGAATCTACAATTTGCCTATCCTTGCAGGGTTGTATTTGTAAGCAGTGTTTCTGCATTTGAATGTAAGCATGTTTATGTATAGAGTATGTGTGTGCATGCATGTTGGCTTTTAAATGTGGCTTTACAATTGTGTGTAGTGTTGGTGTTTGAGTGAAAGAGTGTGTACATAATTTTGGAGTGTGTGCAGGGGTGTGTTTGCATGCTGTGTTGGTGTTTGCTGGGATGTATGCACATGCACTACCACATACATTAATACTTACACAGATATACATACACATTAGCACACAGATACACACACACAGATGTGAATACGAACTGACACAAATACACACATAGAGAGACACGCAGGTGCACAAGCTGATACATTGACACACTCACTGGCAAACATACACACACACTCAGATGCACACACTGACACAAAGATACACAGAGTGACACACAGATACACATACACACACCGTCAGAAACACTGGCACATACACACACTGACACAAAAATACACACACTGACAAACCGATACACACTCAGGTACACACATTGGCACACATACACACCCTTACACAAAAAAACATATACTGGCACATATACACACATTCTCAGAATATACTGACACATACACAGTGACACACAGATACAAACACACACACAGATATCAACACACATATATGTCATTATTTTTTATATTTACATCCACCCTCCTGTTAGCTTAACTTTTTTTCTGTATGAGGGTGGGTTGCTTGATGAGCTGCTGACTGAGGCTGATGTGTGGACAGCAGCTCACTGCTTACTCCTCCTTGCTCCCTGTGCTTCCTCTCCCTCCCTCACAGCTACACTCCTTATAGCTGGGAGGAAGTGCTCTAGGCCCTGGACTCTGGAGGTGGCCCATCACTGTTTGATGAGCCCATTACCAGGCAGCAACAGCTAGACCCAGTGGCGGAACTTCCGGCACTGGACTCCCCTAGTGCTCTGGGCCTCGGTTCAGCTGCATTGGCTGCACTGATGGTAGTTCTGTCACTGTGTTGCATGTTCCAGTGTTGGGACTAAGTTCTCCCCTCATCTGAACCTACTTCACTAACATCACTTCCATTAGTTGCCGGGGAGGGATTTAAGGTGGAGGATGGGCTGAGGGAAGAACATGGGCAGCACAAAGGAGAGGACCATGCTGCCACTGGACTCCATCTCCAGCATGTTCCAGGCTTGCTAATGACGCACAATGATGCTGCCGGAGGTGCAGTTACAGATTAAACTCTGTATGTTTCATAGCAAAATGATACACATAGAGACTCCAGGCATCATGACCACTTCAAATCACGGAAATGGTTCAGAGTGGTTTGAGTAACCCTTTAAATTGTATTGTTTATGCAGCCTTAGCCATAACTCTCCTGGAAGTGACACTGTTCCTGAAAAGAGAGATATCATTTTTAAACTTCCTCTATGGTGGTGTGGTTAATTTATAATTTCTTATTTCATGCTCTGGTTGTTTATAGCCTGATCAAGCCTGCAGGGCTCAGTGCATGATTTAAGTTCATTAACAGAGCCGTAGATAATAACTTCTAAGGTAAACGATCTATGCTGTAAGATCTAATTGAAAATGAAACCATTTTTCATGTAGACCAGTGGTTTCCAACCCAGTCCTCAAGTACCCCCAACAGTCCAGGATTTAGGGATTACCCAGTGGTAACACTTTAGACACAACAAGGCCATTCCTAAATCCTGGACTAGTAGGGGGTACTTGAGGACTGGGTTGGAAACCCCTGACGTAGGCTGTGTCATTCATAGCCAGAGGAAGTGTGGCCAGGGCTGTATAAACAGAAACAAAATATATCTAATCCTTTAAGGATGAAGGTAACTATCCAAGTTCTGAACCAAAACAAAAACCTTGGATTAGTGCTATGTGCTCTTTTCTACTCAATGTGGCTATGGGGATGGGAATGTTAGATGAACAGAGAAATATATACAGGTGTGTAAGGGTTACTGTTACTTTAAAGATCCCTTTCTTTTGCTTTAGACAAAATCCTTTCTCACATCTTTTCTTCCATTTCCAGACAATAGTTTATATTGGACCTAAATATATTTGTATAATCATATCCCCTCTGAGGCACCATTTTTATAAACTAAACAGATTTAAATTTGTTCATCTTACTTCAGAAATAAAATCTTCCATTCCGCTTAATAACTTTTAGATGGCCTCTACACTTTTTCTAGTGCCATAATATCTTTTAAAATAGGTGCCCAAAATAGCAAAAGATTTATAAAGAGGCAAAATTATATTGTCATCACGATTAATGTCCCTTTTTATCATAAATTTGAAAGAAAAATATCCATCTACTAATACAGTATTACCCTATAAACAACGGATTGCCTTGCTTACCTTATTTCAATGTTACGTTCCAAAACCTTCTTGTTAGGATTTTCCTTTGAAGGGACAAATTTTGAAGTCACTTTGACGCACTTACATTTATTGTCCACTAAGACACGTCCATCATAATCATCATCATCATAGTAGCCTGTAATTGCATAGTACATTTGTGAGAATATATTCCTGCATTGACAATTAGAGTGGATGTAGAAACAGTCACAGGGATTGATAGGGTGGAGAGCTGTCCCTTCAAAGAGAGGACTCCCCAATTCCTTTGATATTTTGCAGACTTATTCACATTCATATACTATAAATTACATAACATAGACATCCTGTCTTATTTTCATGAAATAGTCTAGTCACCCTTTTAATATGTCCTTGTTGGTCGTGGAGAAGTGGTGGTGTTCACATAATAGATGGTTGGTATCTAGGTGTGGATCAGTAACCCCATACTTTTATGATGCCCATGAACACCACACTTATAAAAATGCCATAGGAAGAGATTGTAGGCAGAGATTGTCATGGAACACACTACTCAAAGCAAGCCCTCAACTTGGTTTACTGCACACAAATGACTATTTGTGTGCACTAAACCAAAAACAATGATTAAAAAATTCCCTCTAGTATCGCCCATACTTAACTATAGTATCAAAAGATGCCACCACCAAGGCAATTTAGAAACGGATGTCTTTGGATACCAGCCAAATCAGATTTGAAAAACCCACAAAACACAATTTTGGAATTATCTATGTAGTCAAAATACTATTAAATAGTTCTAATCAGGCAACCTGATTCTTTGCCACACAATGGCAGAACTTAATAAAGGAATATTTATTACAAACAAAAATAGTCACAGTGTATACATAAACAATAGATGACAAACAACTGATTTACACCAAAAATAGTTCAAAATAAAAAGGATAAATTATTAGTAGTAATAGTACTGTGATTGCTAGTACAGTCATTGTATATTCTGCACCATGTGGAGTACCGCTAGGGAAATTGGCAACACAACCAAATTAGATTTGTCTCCCAGGAAAGCACAGGTCTCATTCATATGTCATAGCTCTTCTATTTTTGTGCCCATCTCCAGTTTTCAAGCATCCCCAATGGAAGTGTAGGGTAGAGTGTGAGTGTAAGTGTAACTGTAGGAATTCTAGGTTGATTACACTTCCCCTCTCACCTTTTGGCCAATTAAAAAAAAAAAAAAACACACACACACACACACACACACACACATACATTATTTCTTGCCATATGCCTGGCACAGATGAATTTTTACAGTTTCAGAGAAACTGCTATGTTTACATTGCAGGGTTAACCCAATCTCTAGTGGCTGTCTTCCTGAAATTCACATCCAGCGTGCAAAACGTCCATAGGAAAGCATTGAGAAATGCTTTCCTATGGACTGTTTGAATGCGCTCGCGACTCTTGCCGCGCATGCACATTCCGCTCCACTAGGGAGCTGACGTTGGCGGGGGAGGAGAGGTCATGAGCTGGATCAAGGTAAGTAACTGAAGGGGTTTTAACCCCTTCAACACCAACGGGAGGGGGGGTCCTAAGGATGATATAGTGTCAGGAAAACAAGTTTGTTTTCCTGACACTATAGTGATCCTTTAATGGCTGGATATTGTTGATGTGATTGCAAGATTCCCCACACACACCTCCCCTCTGGTCTGTTCCACCTTTTTTTTATTATAAGAATTGTTCACAAGATGAACGAGCAACTCTTATTGAATTCATATGACTAGATGCTACATTTTCAATATGAAACCCAGTACGGTTTCTAAACTGTGCTCTATCAACTTTTGGAAACTCTAGTAATAATTGGGACCTGTGTGTCTCATAATGGCTGAAACAAATTTTCACTGGGTCCTACAAGTCCCATATTGGGTTTTTGTTTTTTTAAATTGAGATTTTTTTTCTCTTCAAAATATATATTGGCACAGAAATGTATATTAATATGATATTAAGTATAATAATATGGTAGAAATTGTGAGAGTTACTAAACAAAATAGCCCTGGAGATTTGTTTTCCTGCACTATAGATTTTTCATGATCTTAAAACCAGGCTCCAATAGAATAAAACATGTCAAACTATTAACTCTCTAACATTGACAAAACATTAATTAAAAATAGCCCAAATATTAGATATGCACAATCACTCAATAAAAGGGGATTCACAAGTCTTTTACATGCTACGTTTCACTACACAAAACCTTTCTTTGTGAGCTGCCTGTGGTTCGTAGATTTGATTATACCACATTTATGAATGAATTATTGCACTGTATTATTGTTCATAATAATTCACAATTTAAAATATTACTATGAGAAAAACTATTGATGGACAGTGAAAAAAAAAACGTATGCACGACAGATCACCTTAAAGGACCACTCTAGGCACCCAGACCACTTCAGCTTAATGAGGTGGTCTGGGTGCCTGGTCCAGCTAGGGTTAACCCATTTTTTTTTTATAAACATAGCAGTTTCAGAGAAACTGCTATGTTTATTAATGGGTTAAGCCTTTCCCCAAAGCCTCTAGTGGCTGTCTCATTGACAGCCACTAGAAGTGCTTGCGTGCTTTTCACTGTGATTTTCACAGTGAGAGCACGCCGGCGTCCATAGGAAAGCATTGTAAATGCTTTCCTATGCGACCGGCTGAATGCGCGCGCAGCTCTTGCCCCGCGTGCGCATTCAGCCGATGGGGCGGAACGGAGGAGGAGAGAAGGAGGAGAGCTCTCCGCCCAGCGCTGGAAAAAGGTAAGTTTTTACCCCTTTCCCCCTTCCAGAGCCAGGCGGGAGGGGGTCCCTGAGGGTGGGGGCACCCTCAGGGCACTATAGTGCCAGGAAAACGAGTATGTTTTCCTGGCACTATAGTGGTCCTTTAAAGTGTACCTTTTGAAACATCAACTAAAAAGAGGTAGTAAATAACTCTCTACATTTTCTACTGCTAGATTTTTTAATCTTCTGTGTTTTTTGGACCATGTTCTAACTTTAAATAAAGATTATTTAAAAAAAATGCAGTAAATACATGGAAGAGTCTCAAAGCAGAAGTAGTAACAATCAGCAAAGTAAAGGATGAGTCACTAAAGTTGGAATTGCAATCTGTGTATCAAAAAAGCTGATTTCTTTTTTTTTATTATTTTTTTTTTTTTTTTTTTAGCAGTTTGGCAATTTTTGCCTATGATTTACAATTGCCTAGTTAATTCCTATACACTTCTCTATTTACTGAATAGCCTTGTTGTTTTTAGATGTTTTTCCACTAAACTGTGAATTCTAGTGAATTTTAAAGCAACATTTAGGAAATGCTGATATGAAAATATAATCTAAGTGGGCTATAGTCACAGGTGTTTAGTCAATTTTTGCTGAATAAACCCCTTTTAATCTGAATATGGAAACTAACAGACTTCTCCAGTTTAACTCTGAAGTCGCTGTAATTGACCGCTGCAAACACATTGCCAACAAGTGAAAAGCTCTTTTTAAAAAAAACAAATATTGAATATAGAGGTCTATTCACTAAACAGTTATCTTGGTGAGCTAAGAGCTGAATTGCAAATTTATCAGTCTTATTCACCAAAATGAGAATTCAAAGTGAATTTGACATTTTAGGCTAAAGTAACAATATAATAATGAAGATATTTTTCCCGTACAGGTATTTTGGCCTTAAATTTTAAATTCACTTTGAATTCTCACATTAGTGAATAACCCTGTGAATCCAAAATAGGCCAATTGGAAAACATATATCTGAATTGGAAATATTTTCTAATTCTTCTTTTGTAGCCAAAATATTGATATAGTTTATATTTTTTAATAAATCATTACAACTTGCTATTAAAGGAAATATACCGTTCACGATCTGGCATAATTATTTACTGCTCTTCTACATTAAACATATTCATATTTGCTAAATAATGTGTTGACATCTGAAAATGTAGTTCAGAATACCAATGTTGGAAAAGAATGTCCAAATGTTACTTTTTATCGCTAAAGTGTGCATTGTCTGGAATATAAAGTGAATTCAAAATGAATTTCAAATTCATCTAGACCAGTGGTTCCCAACTCAGTCCTCAAGTATCCCCTTTAGTGATTATACAATTGTGTCTAAGGTGTTTTGGGGGAAAAAAAACAAAAAACACTTTAGACACAACAGGGTAATCCCTAAATCCTGGACTGGTAAGGGGTACTTGAGGACTGGGTTGGGAACCACTGATCTAGACCCATGTAGCAAAACTGAGAACATAGATAACTCAGAAAATATCCCAATTCAGAAAAACCTAGCATTCACTTTGAAGCTCCCCAACAAATTCACACGTTAATAAATAACCGAGTCAGTGGTTTTGGTCACATATTAAATTAATCATAAATTTGCAACTTGCATGTTTATGGATCACATACCTGCTGCCACAAATATAGAACTCCCAAATAGCAACAATGCAGCTGCCAACATAACACTTTTCTTCAGCATCTTTGCTTCACTTCTTCTTTTGAAGATGTCCAGGTGAAGATACACTGCAGTCCTATAATAGGGGGGAGGTGGCAGCACTGCAACTGTCTGCTGCCTAAAATAAAAACCCAACTCCTAAAAGGTTTCAGTACTGATAACAGATGTTACAGAAGATTGACACTATATCCTTCCTCAAGAATTATGGGGGCTGTCCCTTTGAAAAGGAATCTAGGGACAACAGCTTATTGTTACAGAAAAATTATTAATCTGAAATTAACTTAAATGTTTTTTTATTGTTGGAAGCACAGAGAGATAGATGCGATTCCATACGTGTTTTTTCAAACACTTTTCCAATAAATAGATATAAACTAGTTTAGTGATCTACCCACGCATTCTGTCTATCAGTCTCTCCTCTTGCTCTCAGTCGCCTGTTTCTGTGTCAATTCCCCTATATTGTCTTTATTCTCTTCAGAGACCCTTTTCGCTTTCAATTGCAGTATTTTTACCTTAATTTCCCATCAACACCTTTTTCTTGACCAATTATGCTCTCCGCCCCCCCACTAGAGTTCTGTAATAAAATACTGTTTCCAACACATTTTACTATCTACTTCTCCACAATATTTTTTTTACCCTGTCTATGCTCTCCTAATCTTTTTCTGTCTGTCTCTTTTTTCCTATAAAGTCCACTGTTCTAAATGCTTGTTTGAAAAAACACTCCAAGCATCAAACAAATTATTACCTTGCATTGGTCCTGCTGTAAGGAGAAATTTGGTTCAGTTTGGTTCGGAAATTCAGATAAGTAAAAAAATTTGTCTGCTTCAACAATTCGGACCAATGGCATTCGTTCGGTTCGGCACTTCGGAACTGCCGGATGGCATTTGGTTCAGGCATTCAGAATTCAGAAACGTGGAATTCGACATTCGGCATGTCGTTCATTTTGAAAAATAAACATTTGTGTGTTTTTAATGTTTTTACATTGCATAGTGGACCACAGCAGCACCCATACCACTTAATCTTAAAGAAGTGGTCTGGGTATAGTTAATAATTAGTAGTGATAGTTTAGTATATATACAATTTACAAAATGATATTTTCACAGATAGTGCAGCCAGTCAGGGAGCACTACCAGCATGCAACACTATATAATCCCCCTCCTGTGACACCATCTTTGTGGAGAGTTTAGGAGCAGAGTGAAAGCAATTTGTGTGTGAACAAGCAAGGGAGATTGTGTGAGAGAGGGGAGAATGTGAGGAGGATGTTGATGATCCATTATGATTTCTTTTGTTTTGTTAAATTTTTATTTAACCCCTTCAGGACGGAGTCAATAGTGCACATTCTGATCAATCTGGTCTAGGCCCTTACGATCTGCTGAAGACTTACGTCTATCGTCTGTCCGTACTCCCACCTCTGATGCTTGCCTTCAAGATTTCTCGAGGGCTGCACCGTTCCTGTGGAACTCGCTTCCCTCCTCCATTAGATGCTCACCCAGTCTCCACTCCTTCAAAAAATTGTTAAAAACCCACTTCTTCATAAAAGCGTATCAATTAAACTGTTAATAGCTCCTGACTGATTCCTCTTCTGCAACTGTCATTAGTCTAATACTATCCTTACCTTTTTGTGTCATTTTACCCCACTCCCTCTAGCATGTAAGTTCATTGAGCAGGGCCCTCAACCCCTCTGTTCCTGTGTGTCCAACTTGTCTGGTTACAACTACATGTCTGTTCGTCCACCCATTGTAAAGCGCTGCGGAATTTGACGGCGCTCTATAAATATCATAATAATAATAATCAAAACAAAATGTAAACAAAACCTGTAATTTGCGCTATATGTCTGTTCACCCGTAGTTCACCTCTTTCATATTAAGTGCACCCAGTGGTGTATCCTGGTTTTGTGCTGCCCTAATTTGCCATTTTAGTAATGTTACCTTTGAGACTGTGTGGTAGCCCAGGAATGAGAATTACCCCATAATGGCATACCATTTGAAAAAGTAGACAACCCAAGGTACTGAAAGTGGGGTATGTTTAGTCTTTTTTAGTAGCCACTTAGTCACAAACACTGACCAAAGTTAGCGTTCATATTTGTTTTTGTGTGAAAAAAAGCAAAAAACTAATATTTGGCCAGTGTTTGTGACTAAGTGGCTACTCAGAAAGACTGGACATACCCCACTTGCAATACCTTGGGTTGTCTACTTTTGCAAATGGTATGCCATCATGGGGGTAATTCTCATTCCTGGGCTACCATACGCTCTCAAAGGCAACATAACCAATCTGGCAAATTTCAATGTCAAAAAAATGAAATGCAAGCCTTATATGTGACTCTCTAACTTTACAAAACAATATAAAACCTGTACATGGGGGGTACTGTTATTCTCGGGAGACTTCACTAAACACAAATATTAGTGTTTTAAAACAGTAAAACATATGACAACAATAATATAGTCCATAAAAGTGCTGTTCATTTGTAAAAAAATGCAAAAAAAGTCACTTTTACTTAAAATATCATCGTTGTAATACAATTTATCATTTTGAAACACTAATATTTGAGTTCAGCGAAGTCTCCTGTGTAAAACAGTACCCCCTATGTACAGGTTTTATGGTGTCTTGGAGAGTTACAGGGTCAAATATAGTGCTTACAAATTAAATTCTCTGCACTTTCTCCCTGTGTTGTCAGGCATGTCAATCAAATTTTAATTAATCAAATCACATAATTATGTTAAAAGATAACTTAAATATACATGTAGAATTTTAATATATATGCATTTATAGGTCTTTAAATTCTTTTTTTTAATTTTTTTTATATTCTTTATTTTTGTTGTGCATAAGATTAACATACATGCGTGTGTTGCCACTATATAGAAAATAATAAAACATAAGCAATTCAAATTGTAAAGCATTGTGGCACATGAGTAAACTGCACAGGTATTTGATATTAAACATGCTTAAGTTGATCTTGCCAGTAGGTGTTTGATCAAGAAAGGTAGTTAGACATATTAAATGGGCACTGGCTGAGATGTAACAAGGAAGATTAAAATAAAACATGAATGAAAATCAGGATGTGGAACTATATACTTAGATTAACCACTGGTAGCACTCATGTATACTCTGGTGTTGGGCTTGCAGCAAGCCGTTGTCGTTAACAAGCAATTAGCAGGAAAGGTTTAAAGAGCACCTAACCAATGCCCAGAGGTAGAGAGACCCAGGTTTCCCCGCGACGAGTCTCTTCAGTGAGGCTTCCCCTTCTGGCCCAGACCCTGAGACAGTCCAGGTGGCCTTTTTCCATGATGATGTCCCAGGTTCTGGCGGGGACTAGCCTCTGCGGTTTGTTTTTCATGCTCACTTGGTTTCCGGAGCGGCAGGCCTCTGGGTCATGCCATTCTCGCTTGTTCTGAGGTGGGTGGCATCCCTGCTGTCGGTGCCGGGGGTGTGCGGGCGACTGCCTCAGTGTTCTCTTGCGCCGTCTCCACCGCCTAATCCCTCCAGTCGCATGTGGAGGACGTTGATCTAGTCGGTACCTGGATACCTTGCGGCTCCGGTCCAGTTTAGTCGGAGGGGGTAGTATCACAGTTGAGGGGCTGTGAGTGTGGTCAGTAGGTTGCTGTTGCGAGGAAGCCGCTTTAGCAGAGGTGTTTGCAGATGGCATCGAACTTTGCCTCAAACTGCTCTCTCCATGACTGGTTGTCAGAGTCTGCTTGTGCAGGCAGGCTTCTCGGTGCGGCGGCCATCTTGGCTCCACCACGTGGTCGCCAGCTGCGTTTTCTCGGATCAAGGTCTGCAGAGATGTTAGCTGCCACAGTGGGGACCGGGATAGCCCCCACCGATTGGGGGGGGATATTAAGGCTCCTACAAGCTGAACGAGGTGCGGTCTTCAGGCTATGGGATCGGCCATTTCCCTCAGCCCTCAATACCACTCTCTCAGTAGGCCTGAGAGCCAGGCTAGGTGAGTTCTCAGGAGGTCACGTTAATCCAGGTAAGGATCCGAGGGGCCAGGGCCGGACTGGGAGAAAAATTCGGCCCGGGCATTTTTTTTAACACAGCGGCCCACTAAAAAGGGGGCGGGGCAGAGGAGGTGTGTTTTGTCATCACCAATGACAAACACGCCTCCTCTCAAAGTGAGCATGTTGGTTCAATGCTCTTCCAGGGCAGACCATGCGCAGTGCTCTGCTGAAGAGCTCTAGCATGAGAAAAAAGTCCTGTATTTGTTCTGCACAGTGCAAGCAAATTTAATAACATGCTTGCACTGTGTTTCCTTGCAACTTGTCTCTGGTGTCTCTATAAATGGATACCAGGAGACAAAAGGGCCAGGAAAGAGTATTGTGCATGTGTTTGGAGCCTGCTTGTGGTATTGCATGTGTGTAGAGTGAGCTGGTCGTGGTGTGGTATTGTGTAATAAGGTCGGTTTTAGTCGTGTTGTGTTTGTGGTGTAATGTGATGCATATGTGGCTCAGGGACCCCCTCCCGCCCGGCTCTGGAAAGGGGTTAAAACTTACCTTTTTCCAGCGCCGGGCGGGGAGCTCTCCTCCTCCGATCCGCCCTGTCGGCTGAATGCGCACGCGTGGCAAGAGCTGCGCGCGCATTCAGCCAGTCGCATAGGAAAGCATTTATTATGCTTTCCTATGGACGCTTGCGTGCTCTCACTGTGATTTTCACAGTGAAAAGCACGGAAGCGCCTCTAGCGGCTGTCAATGAGACAGCTGCTAGAGGCTTTGGGGGAAGGCTTAACCCATTGATAAACTGCTATGTTTATAAAACAATGGGTTAACCCTAGAAGGACCTGGCACCAAGAGCACTTCATTAAGCAGAAGTGGTCTGGGTGGCTAGAGTGGTCCTTTAAGAGTGTAGTGTGTGTGTGTGTGTGTGTGTGTGTGTGTATATATATATATATATATATATATATATATATTTGGAAGTATTGTGTATGTGTGTGGTGCAGTGTGTTGGGGGGGTTCTGTGTGTATGTGAGGGGTGCAGTATGTGTGTGTGTAAGGGTGCGGTGTGTGTGTGAGGGGTGCGGTGTGTGTGAGTGCCGTGTGAGAGTGCCGTGTGTGAGTGATGGGTGTGAGAGTGCCGTGTGTGAGAGTGCTGTGTGAGATGGGTGTGAGAGAGTGCTCTGTGAGAGTGCTGTGAGTGTGATGGGTGTGAGAGTGCTGTGAGTGTGATGGGTGTGAGAGTGCTGTGAGAGAGTGCTGTGTGTGTGAAAGTGCTGTGTGTGCTGGGTGTGAGAGTGCTGTGTGAGAGAGTGCTGTGTGTGTGTGAGAGTGCTCTGTGAGAGTGCTGTGAGTGTGATGGGTGTGAGAGTGCTGTGTGAGAGAATGCTGTGTGTGTGTGAGAGTGCTCTGTGTGAAAGTGCTGTGAGTGTGATGGGTGTGAGAGTGCTGTGTGAGAGAGTGCTGTGAGTGTGTGAGAGTGCTCTGTGAGAGTGCTGTGTGTGATGGGTGTGAGAGTGCTGTATGTGTGTGAGAGTGCTGTGTGTGAAAGTGCTGTGAGTGTGATGGGTGTGAGAGTGCTGTGTGTGATGGGTGTGAGAGTGCTGTATAAATGTTATTGTGTGTGTGTGTAGGGGGGGGGTAAATAAAATAAAAAAAAAACAAAAAAAAAACAGACATTATTCCCCGCTGGCAGGCGGGGTGGAGCTGTTCCCTGGTGGTCCTCGTGGGTGAGTGAACTCTAGCCAGCATAGCCTGTGAGGCTAGAGTTCACTCTCGCGAGATCCGGTCGTTGCCATGGCAACGCGCCGGATCTCGCGAGAGGAACCCGGCGGAGCTGCAAGTTAGAGCTCCGCCGGTTCCTCTCTCCAGCCTGGCTGGCTGTCTCCCTCTCTGCCCGCCGGCGGCCGCATGTGGGCCGGTCAGGGAGATCCTTGATCTCCCCACCGGCCCGTCGTGACAAACAGCGGGGCCGGCGCTAGGAGAGTGCCGGCCCTGCATAGACCGGCAGGGGAGATCCTGGGACCTCCCCTGCCGGCCTCGGCCCCACGGCCACCGCGGCCCACCGGGCATTTGCCCGGTGTGCCCGATGGCCAGTCCGGGCCTGCGAGGGGCTCATTAATGAGTTTGATTTTAGCCTGTTTTGTGCTCCGGTGGTCAAGATTTTGGGCTCTGTGTATGAGATTAAGGCTAGGATTAGCCGGAGCTAACACAAAGCACGTCCGGCCATCTTGCCTGGCCCCGCCCCCGGTATTTAAATTCTACGTGTATACTAATGTAATCTTTTATGTAAATATATATATATATATATGCGGTTATTTGTATTTTATATATAGCTATATATAGAATGTCATTCTAAGTGTATTGTTACATACATACACACACACATATATATATATCTCAAAATACAGTTAGAATGAAATTACATATGAATATATAATTTATATTAAATTTTGTTTCAATATTTTTTTTTTATTTTTTTTTAAATAGTCTTTATTGAAAGGTTTTCCCTTTTTTTTTTTTTTCATGAAAGACAATACAATACGACAATTACATACCATATATAAGTGGTAGGAAACATTACTCTCATTTGAAAAATACATCCATAAAAATTTTCTTTATACATTTCACTTGACCAAAGACAAAACAATACATTTAACTTACATATCTACATAAACAAGACAATGCAGCAAAAGAGAAAGGAGAAAACACATATCGAGTAAGAATGTATATCTTATATCTTATATCTTATATTATCCAAAGTATGGCCAATCCGACACAGTTTCCCTTTAGGTTTGTAAAGAACTTAATTCTGACAAACCTTTTTTGAAAGCTCTATTTATTAATCCTCTCCCTACATTTCGTCCAAACAGTTATTTTTTTTACTTAATTTTTGTTTGCTCAACAACAGTTCCATTTTAATCTGAAACTTAAGCTGGGCTCTAACTTGATCCCAAGGAACATCCCTATCATTTTTCCAGCCTCTTGCAATCACAATTTTGGCAGCTAAAAAAAGATGAATAAGAATAATTTTCAAATCATACGCCATTACCGGCCAATTTAGATGGGTCAATGTATCCCATCTTTGGCAGGTCCTACACTAACAGCCTAATGTCTGCTCTTATGAGATTAACCCACTCACTTGAGGAGAAAATTCCATCTGGGGCTCTCTGCAGTACAAGTCTGAATAGGGCCCTGGGATGAGGCATCTGTGACAGGGAGGGGTACAAAACCAAGGAGTTGGCTAGACTCCCAAATACATATATAAATGAAACAAAGGGGGGTTGGCTGCACTCACCTGAACATGCATAAATGGGGGTGCTGCTGGGGGCCAAATAATACAATACACAAGATCCAGCGCACTCACCTATCCACTAAACAGCAACTTCAATGTTGAAAATTTTTATTTGTTTTTTTAAAAACACCTAATCTAGGCAAAAATAATGGGGGTATAGTTACATTATATGACCATACATTGCATAAGCCTGCCACAACGTCAATGTACCCCATCTTTGGCAGGTCCTACACTAACAGCCTAATGTCTGCTCTTGTGAGTGGGTTAATCTCATAATCTTATGGAGTGCCGCAATGGCTTTAAAGCCCTTTTAATACGGGACGGCATAAAACGCCGTAAATGCATTAAGGGGTTAAATTAAATCACAGAAAACTGAAAAAAACCCACAAAATTAATCACTGTAGTAAAGTCACAGTGCAGCAGAGAAACACCCTGGCAATCAGGCTACCTGGCAACAGCTAAAAATAACACAAAATTAATCACTGCAGTAAAGTTACAGAGCAGCAGAGAGACACCCTGGCAATCAGACTACCTGGCTTGCACAGCCACACACTCTCTTACTCCCCCTGCAGAAGAAAAAAAAAGGCAAAACTTTCTCTCTCTCTCCTTGGAACACACACACTTAAAAGCAAAGTGGCTCCCCAAGTTTGCAACAAGTAAAGTACAATACATGTAATGTAATTCATCACTTTCATTCTCTTGTGCTATCAAAACTAGTCTGGTCACATGAATGCAAGCCAACATCCTGACAGCCTGATTTTATATACTATCCCATCTCAATGACTCTTTTTGCCTTCACTGGCCAAGTGTCAGTGATAAAATCACCATTAATTGCCTGTCCTCTAACATCATTCACAAAAATCTGCTCATTTCATTGGACAGGGAATAGTGAAACCGGATTGGACAAGCAAGCATTACATTGCACAAAAGGAATTAGCTTACTGGTCAAGATTCCTGTCACCATTCATGTAATTTTCCCTCCCCCTCTTTTGTTTTGCCACTTTTCAGAAATCTGAATCACTTCAGAGCTTCCAAACTACCGTACTTCAACACTTCAGAACCTCGGCACTTCAGACATTTGTAAGTGTCCGAATGGCATAAAATTAGTACGAATGTATATTCGGAACGAAACGAATTGCACATGTCTAGTTCCTTATTGCTGCAACAATTTGCAAAAACTGTTACAGCTATAAATGTGTCATCCATCCTGTCTGTTGACTAGCTGAACCACTACATGGTTTTACATACAACTTTTGGGAAAGGCATTTACAAAATCCCGTCTTCAAAATATAAACCACAATATAATCGACAATGCATGACACAATGAGCTTTGTGTGATCTGAAAGATTCAGTTTCTACCAGACACCATTTTGCATTTTTTGTCGATGTTGTTTTCTCTATGTGACTGTGCACCAGACATGGACAGTACATCACTCATTTAATGACAATGTAGCCTGTTCAGATTTGCAAAACTGACTATACCTTTTTTTTTTAATGTATACCAAATTTTGAAACTTTTGTTTGTTTTATTTGCAATAACGGGACATGCACATTGTGGATCCATGCAAAGATACAAATACAGCATCAAAGCAAATTACATTTATCAAGCCACGCTTAGGCAGAGATATTTACATATGGTGTTTCATTTTCTGTCTGTACGTTTAGGAGAAATCTTCACAATCAAAAAGAAAGGTACAATATGTATATGAAGTTCTACGAATCAGGTTTCTCAGATAATTACTCAAAATTAAAGGTACAATCTAAATAGGTAGAATGTAATATATATTAAAAGGTGTTACAGAGTTGGAGTTTAAGTACTTGAGCCAGGTATTTCTGTATATATAGGCCCAGTGCCAGATTAAGAGCCTGGTGGTCCTGGTGCTGACAATTATGATGGGGCCTAATTACAGAATTTTATCGACCAAAAACACTACAACAGTCATACCTCTCAAGCGTCATGTATCTGATGGAGTTGGTGTTGGAGGGAAACTCAAAGGATGCAGCTATAAGAAAACACATACTCTCTGCTAATCTCTTTATCTAATTTATGCTTTAATTTTTCAAGTAAATCCATACCCCCTAACAGCAGTGTCCAGTGAAGCAAGAAGTCAATGGGCGGGGTAAAAGAGTGGGCCACTGATGCGAATCATGTGACCAGAACTGCCAAAAGGGGCGAACATGCCCAAAAAGGAGGCATGTCTGTCCAAAGAATTGAAAGGCCAGCCTGGCATCAGTGTCCCCATGTCGCCCAGTCTCCTAGTCTCCCAGTGTCTGTGTCCCCATTTCTCCCATTGTCCCCATGTCTCATGTGTCCCGTGTCACTAGGGGACACTGAGAGACTAGGGGACACTGAGAGACATGGGGACACTGAGAGCCTCGGGGACACTGAGACACTTGGGGACACTGGGAGACATGGGGGCACTGAGACACTTGGGGACACTGGGAGACATGGGGGCACTTATGGATAAAGACATGGGGACACTGGGAGACTGGGAGACAGACATTTGGGGACACTGGGAGAAATGGGGTCACAGACACTAGGGAGACAGAGACATGGGACACAGACACTGGGAGACATGGGGACACAGACATTTGGGGAAATTAATACACTAGGGACACTGAGAGACATGGGAACACAGACACTGGGAGACTAGGGGACACTGGGAGACATGGGGACACTGAGGCACTAGGGACACTGGCTGGGAGGCATTGGGCGCATGGACACTTGGGGACACTGGGAGACATTGGGCACTTGTGGACATAGACATGGGGACACAGAGACATGGGGACACAGACATTTTGGGGACTCTGGGAGACATGGGGACACAGAAACTGGGAGACATGGGGACACTGAGACACTAGGGACACTGGCTGGGAGACATGGGGACACTGGGAGACATGGAGACACTGTGTCCCTAGTGTCTCTGTGTCCCAATGTGTCTACCTATGTCTCACAGTGTCCCCATGTGTCTCAGC